AAAAAAAAAGTAGCAGGCAACAAAAACATAGGAAGGAAAAGCGGGAGAGAAGAGGGAGTAGAGGGGAGACAGAGTGGAGATACAATATGAGTGAGAAGAAAAGAAACCAAAAAAAAAAGAAAGAGGAACGACCTTGAAATTAAAAAAGAAAGTGAAAGAAAACAGACTGAAAAACCTTGAAAATGAGAAGAGTGTTTAGGTCAATGTGTGTATTGTGTGTGGGGGGGGGAGGAAATTCGGGAAACGGACCAGCTGGAGGAAGGAAAAATGGAGAAGTGAGAGGAGGAGGAGGAGGAGGAGGAGGAGGAGGGGATGAGAGGAGGAGGAGGAGGGCTGAGAGATAAAGCTGTGGGAGATAAAGTGAAGGAGAGACCCGCTGAGTTCCTGGAATGTGCTGGTGGGTTTGTCCGGAGGGAGGTTGTTTGTGAAGGGAGCGTTTGTGGGTTATGAAAGTGTGCGTGTGTGTGTGTTCATCGTGAGGGTTTGTGCAGATCTGGCCTGATGGTGTGATGGTAGGTGATCGCTGTGGTTTCCGTGCACGCTCAGACTCGTAGCTGTTGTCCCGTGGTGTAGCGAAGGCGCCGTTTATGCGGTTTATGATTATGGACCAGTAATTGACGAGACTCCCTGAGCAGAAACAACATCGACACGAGTGCTGGCAGCGGCGGCGGCGGCCATTAGTGGCAGTGGCCCTAAGAGCTGCGGGCACAATAACCTCAAAACACACAGGCGAAGAGATAAAACACAACAAGGATATGAAGAAAACATCTTCACCAAATTGACAACACATGCAGAAACACACTGCAAACTCTCCAAATCCTCCGAAGTACAGAAAACACAACCGAACACAAACCAAGCCACGCAGAGAGTTTTGGTTTTGAGGAATCCAAACACAGAAATACGCTGGAATGTAACAAAGTACATTTACTTGTCGTACTTAAGTACAAATTTAAGGTACTTGAGTCTTTTCTTTTCATGCCACTTTATACTTCTACTCCTCTAAAATCTCAGAGGGAAATATTGTACTTTCACTTGAGAGCTTTAGTAACTTTACAAATCTCAGTACTTTTAATACTTTAAGTACATTTTTCTGATTGTTTTTTTACTTAAAGGACCAGTGTGTAGGATTTAGTGCCATCTAGTGGCAGACTGCAGATTGCAGCTAATACAACTCCCCTTCCAAACGTGTACGAGAACCTACTGTGAGAAAGGCCGTTCTACACACTGGACCTCACTAAACTGATGAGTTATGCACAATCAATGACTTAGCATTAGACGATACAGGCTGCGTTAGCATAGTCAGCTAAAAACCGGCAACAACTTGTGTGTCTGGGCGTGTTCGACAGTTGGAAACATCTTTGTCTTGCAACTTTTGTTTCGTGCATCATTTCAGTTTTTTTGTTGTCAACCTGTAGAACATGTTTCTGAATTTGCTCATGTGTATGAAGACGTTTTCTTCTGTTCTGTGTTTTCTTAACAAATAATAATCACCTTCAGCTGTCTGATGGAAAACCTCTCAGTAAACCTTTCTATCTCATGAGGGAGAAGTCTTTTTTTTTACCATAAAGTCTGAGAGTTAGAATAACACATGGCAGACAGAAGGAAACTCTATCATGCCAGTTGTGAATGCCGTAAGTTTCAGACACTGTAACAAATCCTCCCCCAGGCCACAAAATCCAGGGCGCAGACAATAGCCTCCACACCCCAGACAGGCAGAACGGTGCTCCAACAGGCCGATTCAACGGCTCAACAACAGCCTTAACTACACCACTGCCACTTGACTCCACTCCAGCAGGCTGCCTCGCCTCAACCCACAGCCAGTCAGTCAACCAGTCAACCAGTCAGTCAACCAGTCAGTCAGTCAGGGAGTGAGACTGACAGGAAGCTCGGCACAGGGCGAGGACTCAGGATCCATGTGGCAGCAGCATGAATGCTATTCTGTCTGGAGAGTTACTGGGAGGCTGACATGGAGGAAGCGGAGGTCAGAGGGTCGCAACGCGTCTGTCCGCTGAGGAGACCGCGACAGCGCCTCAGCTGCAAGTTTGGGTCAGGATGAGAGGGGAGGGGAGGGGAAAGGGGGCCGCCTACCGCAACAATGTCACAAGCAGTGATACTCGACCTTGCACCTTTACAGCAGGCAGACACCGAGAGGAGACAAAGCTGCAAACCTCCATTTTTAAAAAGGCTCAGTTCACACAAAATACAAAAACACGTTTGTCTACCAGCCCAAGAGACCCCGGAGAGAGTTTTGGTTTTAGGTGCTGAGGGTTTGCGATCTCTGACTTAAGACACTGATATGATCCCTGAGTTTCAGGACCAAAACAAGACCTTTCTTTAAGCGTAAAGGTTTGTTTGACCTTGAAAAATATAATTTTGACAATTTATTCTGGAGCTTTTAAACACATCTCATGGTTTTCATCAAATAAATTGCTCAGTTGTCATGTGGCTGAAAGCTCTGATTGTATCTCAGTCCCTCTCAGGCTTTTTTTTGGGCCTAAAACGTCTAATGGTCGAAAAGAAATTGTGATACACGTTTCAGTGCTTTTAGGCATTTCTTTTTGTATAATTAATTAAATGAAACTGGAGGCAACCTGTCCCAGTGAGAATAAAATCGCTGGTAGTTAGATGTATGGCTCAACGCTTTGCTCACAGGAAACTACAAGGATTGGACAAGATTTGCAAGGTCACACAGAATTCACAGGGATTGGATGAATTAATTATTGCGACTTCCTACTACTGGTATCTTCAGAAGTTTAAGTTCTTAAATATAAAATGTCCAAACTCAAGCAGCCGTTTTGTCTAACGCACATAAAGTCATACATTTTATTTCCAATTCTTTCCAGCACTGGTCTCTCCATTATTTTTTAAAGGGTCAGTTCACACAAATAACAAAAAGACGCATTTCCTCACTGACCCCTAATGGTGTCCAGCAATGCAGACAAATGTAAATAATTTTTTGATAATTAGAGCCCGACCAATATATCGGTTGATATTATGAGCTAATATTGGCCTATTGGAGACACATCTGTATCGTAACGGTACTGTAAACTGTTCTTTTTCCCGGTATACAATGCAAAAGCTTGTAGTTAACTTTCTAAGTTAATCAACCCTCTGACAACCTTTGCTGAGTCATATTTGGTGCAAAATCGGTCCATTTTAATTCCAGCTCAAATATTCACTATATTTTTTTGCTAATCTGTGAGTTTTTCCCATCTAAAAATCAGTATCAATCTCAGGAAAACATATGGGTCGTGCTGTAGTGTTGATATTTTATACGCACTAATACATTAGGCGTCAATGGAGTTAAGTTTGTGGTGCCGCCAATATTAGAAAATTACATTAAAACTTCCTGAAACAATAAATGAAAACTGCTGACATCAAGGTCTGTGGATGATCCTAAGATAACAGAAGATTGTTCATACAAAGAGACGGTGGTGTTTGGTTCCAAATGTCTCAACTCTCTGAGCACCACAAACCAAATCTCATTCGCTTCCATTTCTCTGGAAAGGCCACTAAAGTTTACGGGACCAAAGAACGAATGAATCTTAGTAAATAAAAATGAAACAATTAAAGGAGGAACATCTCTCTTTGGTTAAACAGAGATGATGTCGGGTAACCAGTAGACAGTGCTTCATTTTAAAAAAGGGTCACAAGCCAAAAGGTTGGAAACAACAGCTTTATAAGTTGCACACACAGAAAAAAAAACTGTCCCTGGTGTTCTGTTTCTGCGTTTGTCAGCGTGTTTTCAGACACTTTAGCCTCAGCTGACATTTCAGCGTCTTCTGATACAGAATCTGTGAGCAGACACTGAGGCGGTACCGATCCCACAGATCCCAGCTGGGAAGGGAAGGAGCCTGAGAACCAGTTCCCATCCACATAATACAAGAACATATCCACTCAGAGAAACAAATCTCACAAGTACGTACGTTCACAATGACATAATGCCTCTTCAGAAAGTAAAAACTGGGTATTAATGGGTTGGCACGCAGGCAGCAGGTAATCAATCATTAGGTTAGCAACACAAACGGCACTACCATCTGCAGGTAACCTAGAGGAGAGGAGCTCTTTAATATTCACTCAGAATATTAATTCAGTTTCAGTCAGAAAACAAAAGAGACCGCAAAGAAATCTCAACAGGGTCTGAAGACCCGAGTTTCTGGCCTCTCTCGTGCCCTAAAGGAGCGTCGTCACACCCAATGCAAAGAGGGGAATGCTGCTCTCAGTCACTGTTTAATGACCCTGCAACAGGTGATCTCATTCAGCTCAAATTAAAATGAATCAAAATCTGTGCATGTGACACAACGGGGACGTCACGTAGTGTAGTCGGACTACAGCTGCAGGATACGGTAAAATAAAACCACTGTAACTAGAAATAAACTGTTAACATCAGGATGCTGTGACTGATCTCTTGAGGTCTGTAGAACCAAACATTTCATTTTGGGTCTCTTGGTAGTCATTATTTGTCTCTTTGTCGTTGTTTTGAGTCTCTTTGTAGTTGTTTTGCACCTCGGTGTTGCTTTTGAGTCTCTCTGTGGTTATTGTGTCTCTGTGTTGTCATTATGCGTCTCTTTTTGTCCCTTTGTGGTTGTTCTGACTGAGGCTTCTCAGGTGTTTCTGCTGAACTTCAGTATTTAGTTCTCGCTGCAGATGAGTCGCCGTCTGACTCCCGTTTAACACTTCCTGCCACAACAGATCCACTCTGACTCTCCTCTGCACAGACGGATTAAATGTACGAAACCATACATCTGCTGCTCTGATTGTTAACGTTACTGTATCTTAATGAACTTCCACTGCAGCCTCAGCCTGGTGTGACGAATATTGGATTTAGTTGGCAGATATCAGTATTAAGACATCAGGACAAATCTACTTTTAACTGTACTCTAAGTCTAACTTTCCAACAAGGAATGATAACACTGAGGCAAAGGGGCCCGAGGGGTCCGGGGGCCAGTGCCCAGTCGGCCCACTCAGTAATAAATTCATGCTTTTTTGGCCATACTCACTCTCTCCTTCTACTTTGTCAGGGTTTCGGCTCCACACTATCTGCCGCGTGTCCTGCTTTATCTGGAAGGTTCTCCTCTCGGGCCGCTGGGACTTCTTCTGGTAGAAGACGGTCATCACCGTCCCCATCTCCAGGCTGTGGAGGATGCGGGGACCGGCTTCTGTCCAGTCCAGCATCCTGGAGGCCGTGACCGGAGCGGGAGCCCCCGAGGTGCCACCGGGGGCCTCCTCGGCACAGCCATTGAGGCAGCCGCTGAACCTGGCTGCACACATCTTCACTGCATAGCTCTGAGGAAGCCTTGCAGGAATCTGTACTGTTTCTGGGTGAGGATGCTCGTCCTTCAATCGCTCACTGACTGCACCGGTTATCCAACATGTCCAAACCGCTGGTGCAAAGAGGGAAATCTGGTTGTGAACCCCAAATTCTGCCAATCTCATATAAAAACACGAGCTAAAGAGACTTCAGAGCTGAGACAGTGAAATGTCTGAGATGTGAATTATCCTCTGGTCCTCTGGAGGGGGAGTGTATCCCTGTGTTATCCTTTCCAGATGCTTCTGGCAGCACACCAGCGAAATCCACTCGGAGTGAGTTCTCATCGCCGCTGGACTCAGGTTTCCACCCTTTCTGTATCCTCCTGCTAGTCCTCCAGTCCACGACAGCAAAGGCGGCACAGTCCGGCTCTAGCT